ATCGACAGTGTAAAGATTTTGACTCCCACCTTGAAAGTTTGCGATTCAAGTCCCGCCAGGGACGAGCAAGCACTGCTGAATAGTTCGGATAAGAATGAAACAGAAACCCTCAATGTATCGGCCCTCGCATCAAAAAGCTATAGGAAATAAAAGCCATGAAGTGTTTTCTGTCCATCTCACCTAGAGCAGATCCAACACTCGAGTGGAGCTATACAATATATTCACCACACGTCATCATAGAAAAACCAGAGCATAACCAGAGATGGTAAGCAACTGAGGCTACATACCAGTATTTGGTAGACTGTCCATGCGGAACGAGGAATTCTGTTACTCATTAATGATGACATCGGGTCAGTAGTGGTTCAGAACGACTGCTACGCCAATTTTACACTACCGAATGAAAATCAGACAGCAGTAGATAGGATCGTAGTATAAGACATACCCACTGTCATAAGACGCTTGATCGTCGTGTACACATTGTGACAATCGCGTTCACGTGGAATGATCAGCCGAATGACACGGAAATTCTTTCCTCGTATGACAATAGGAGCGCCACCGGTTGTCAGCGGCAAGCGTTCGACGGAGGAAATCAGTTGATTGTTTAGCTACAATATGTAAACAAAGGGGCAGAGAAAATTAGTAGGGCATATTCCTTAATATGATAGCAATGAACGCAACACGTGGCAGTGGAATCATCATCATCGTACAGCAAAATACGGTGAAGCGAGCTTCACTGATCGCTGACAAACTCGTAATGCATACAACGTTAATGATAGTATTCAAGGCGGATAAGGAATGGACCTATTTTTAGGGAGGAAGAAGGTGAACCTCTATGGTCAACACAGAGTACACAATCTAAATGTGCCTACGTACCGCTTCAAGCAATCTGGCCTGGTGAGAAAGTAGAATGCCACTGCTGTCAGTTCGCTGCCACATCCTTCAATGTCTTCAACCAACCAACTGCGGAGTCTTTCGGACCCCAACCTGGAGGACGCGAGACACCTACTATACCTAATCGCTCTGTGCATTTCTCCATGCCTCGTCCCCACATGATCTGTTGACCTCCACGTAGTTTCCTCCCGCTTGGATCGACTACAGCGAATAAAGCGTGATGCGGCAGACAACAGTTAGACATGCGCAATACGTGCCCTAGCCAGTGAAGCCCACTAATTGAAATTCGATGAGCTAGCAAGTTTATCCCTGATAAACTCCCAAACACGACGGCTTACCTCCAGATTACTAAAACATCCGCTCCATCCCACATGGGCTAAACTACGTAAACGCCGATAAACGAGGACTTCGAGTCGATGGATTTCTTCTACTCACAAATTCAATATCCACGATAACTAATGCCTGGTCACTTAATTTTAAACCAGGAGTAGGCGACACCCACTCTCGTAACATCATTATGCACTTTGAAGGTGCAAAGCAAATACAGTATGTGGCAATAGCACTTGTTAGTCTATCAAGTGCACTTTACACGACCTACAAACATTCGAACAGACAGACGGCGTCATTGGCGCACTCTAAAGTTCACAGCTTTTCTCCAGCTACCTATTCAATACCTACGTTTTGGGAGCCACTTTGTGCG